GGGAGGGGAGGGGGGGAGGGGGTCGGTAGCCCCAGTCCGCCCCGGGCGAGCCGTGCGGAGCAGCCAGCCGACCACGCTCTGCGCCAGCCTGCAGCCCGGGCCTCGGGGTCGCCCGTCCGCCCGCCCGGCCGCCGGCGCGGCAGATGCTGAGGGTCGGTGCCCATCCCGCGTTGAGGGGACCCGGGCGGCGCGCTGGGCCTGGGGGCCGGAGCCTGAGCTTGCGGCGCTCGTCAGAAGTTAAGGTAAGCAGGGCCACAACCGACCGCTCTCAGCGCTGAATGGTGGAGTTTACGTCTTGGTGATTTATGGCTGCAGACTTAAATCTCGGTTCAAGAAGAGTTCACAAGCCGGAGCTTCCTTCCCGGCAGTGACTGATACCCTTACACTTCGAGTTCAGGCCGCTTTCCCATCCCCGCCCCCACTCTTCCCTCTCTCCTAGCCCAGCCTCAACTTTTCTGGGTTGGTGAGAGAGGGGGGAGTAGGCTGGGGACCTGGGTTCTTCCTCGATTTCCCCTTTCAAACCGTCCCCTTTCAAACTCAGCCGAGGGCAGCTAAGAGAAGGGGAGAGAATGGTGTGTGGAGGAAGGAGGTCGAATTTGGGCATTCCTTGCACAGAGACAATAGGGCTTGCTTCCTGCACCCAGGTTAGCCTCCTCATCTTCCTTCAGCTCGCGCACCTGGAGGTTACTGTCAAGGAACAGATTTTTGCTCAGGACTCTTCCTCAATCCTCAGCTCTTGCTGGAGAGGTGTGTGTGTATGGGGGGAACAAAGCAAAGTTTCCTGGCTGGCAAATCTCCAACTTCTTTACTAGGTTGAAAACTTTGGGAGCTGGGTTGGGGGGGAGTTGTGTAGACTCCAAGGTGTTTGTCAACTGCAAACAATGGGAAGGACTTCGGTGGGATGTCTAGTTGAATTCTTATTTTAAGTTTGTGGACGCTGTCCTATACTCTTTGATTTTAAAGATATTTTTGTTATTTTACATGACAATGTACAGTTTGATGAAAAGGCTCAAACAAGCTGCAGGCTAGTATAGCCTGTGATAATGGATTAGCAAGTCACTAGAAATACTGCATGTTCAAAATCAACTTAATTTTATCTAATATCTTGCTGTTCAAGTGTCTAGAGTAATTTTCTTAACCTGACGTTTTATTTTAAGCAAGCTTGGTATCTCAAAAATTTATGTCAGGCATTAACACTGCCAAATGTAATAGGACTGTTTTCAGTGAAAAAACAGAAAATATAAACATTAAATTGCAATTCACATTTACATTTTATTTTATCCTTTATTTACTTCCATAATGGTATCTATAGCTTCTGAAAGAGAAACAACACTCCAGGGTTCATAATCATACAGTATAATTCTAGATAATGCTGTAATTTTTAATTGGCATTCTAGAGAATTAATTGTGCCTGTTTTCCAGATGTTGATAACATTGTTGGTTTAATATTGAAATCTAAAGGAGGCTATTAAAAACAAAATTATAATAATCTATTGGTAGATCCTTATATTATTTTTTGTAGTTGACACCTGCTAATCCTGGGAAATGTGACTAACTCTGAGGTTCAATATACATAGAGCATGAAGTGTAAACCATTATCTTCATGAGTTTGTCATTAGAGTTTTCATAATGGTCAGAGGAACTAAGATTCTGAGTGTGTAAAACTCTTGTGGAACTTTTCTTGCTGAGAAATAGAAATTTGCCATGCAAAGGCTGAAAAAAAAAACCCACAGATTTTTTTTCTCTTAAAAATTGCTTTCTGAATAAAAGAGAGTTGAGAAGGTTTTCAGTCGCTTTTCACATTTTTCTTTTTAGATCTTTTTTGACTTGGTGTTTCTGAAGCAGGCAAATAGGCCGAATAACAGAATAACAAATATCAACAACAGTATACAAAGATCAGGGACTCCAGGATTTTATGGTTTGTGCTTCCGTGCCTCCTTTGGAGCCAAATGACCCCCATACATCACATTACATAGCAGTTTCTAAGACAGAACCTATTATCCTTAAGTTGGAAGGAGAGTTCAAGCCGTGGTCATGGAGATGAACGCTGGTTTTTCAGGTTCCTGGTGGGCTGTTTTTTTCTCTAATCCATCATGTTTTAACAGGTAGAATTTGATAGTTGCCCAGAATAACAGCACCTCAGGAAGTCCAAGGCAGGAGAGACTGGGCACCTCCAGTAACTAGGGAGAGGGATGAGGGTGGCTTTCTGGGAGGTGCCTGAGAAACAGGAGGGGGGAAACAGTTCCAGGATTTGAGTTGTTTCTTGGAATAGGGTGATGGTGTTGGTCTTCAACACTACACACACACACACACACACACACACACACACACGCACGCGCGCGCGCGCGCACACACACACCGAGTGTTCCACCCAAAGTCCTCCCCCCACCCCACCCCCACCTTCTTGACTACAAGGCATTCTTTGGGAAGGTTCTCTTCTCTGAACTAGGGAAGGATAACTGCCCAACAAACTGAGCTTCTGAAATCCATCATGGTCTGATAGGGCAGTTGCCTAAATTTTATTTTGTGCACACCTCCTTTGAGAGCAGGAAGCTCCAGGGAAGGGCTTAATAGGAAGTCAAGGCATCTAAGGCCCTTTTGGCAAGTGTGAGGACTACAGTGGGGATTGAAGAAGCATACTGGCGACCCCAGCTCCATTTTGCCCTCTTGAGAGTTCCCAGGATCTCGGGAAAGCGTCGTCCCCTCTGGATGATGCCAAGGAGTGGATAAGAAGGGACACCACGGTTTCTTCTGGAGAAGAGAGACCCCCACCGGGTTCATTTCTAGCCTACAAAGCCTTTCTCATTTTGGATCTTGACTCCAGCGATTCGGCTTCCAGCTCTCACTTATTTTCCTTCTCTCTGCGCGGAAAATCCCCCAACTCCAGACGCAAGTTAAGCAAATATTTGTAGCTGCCAGTAAATTCCAGCAGCTTTTTATAGCGCGGCTCCCTGCGCCCGGGGCCACGTCGTGCTGCTAAATATTGCTGACCACTTTTTCTTTTATGGCTTTCATGTCACTTAGCTATTGAGAGTAAGATGGATTTGCGCGGAGCCTCACGGCGCTGCTTCTCCCCCCTCCCCTCAGGTCTGCGCGGGGCGGCTATTGGCGGCGGAGCGTCACGTGACCGCGGGGGCGTGCCAATGTGCTCCCTTAAGGGTGTCAAGCCCCCGTCAGAGTGTGAGATCAAGATCGTGAAATAACGCGATGCAAAAAGCGACCTACTACGACAGCTCGGCGATCTACGGTGGCTACCCCTACCAGGCAGCCAACGGCTTCGCTTATAATGCTAGTCAGCAGCCGTATGCGGCGTCCGCCGCTCTGGGCGGCGAAGGCGGCGAGTACCACCGACCCGCCTGCTCACTCCAGTCGCCCGCCAGCGCGGGGGGCCACCCCAAGGCCCACGAGCTGAGCGAAGCCTGTCTGCGCACCCTGAGTGGCCCGCCTAGCCAGCCCCCAGGCCTGGGTGACTCGCCTCTGCCCCCACCCCCCCCCCAGGCCGCGCCCCCAGCCCCACAGCCGCCCCAGCCCCCACAACAGCCCCCTGCGCCCACCCCTGCAGCTCCCTCGGCCCCCTCTTCTGTCTCCCCCTCTCAGAGTGCCAACAGCAACCCCACCCCCGCCAGCACTGCCAAGAGTCCCCTTCTCAACTCTCCCACCGTGGCCAAACAAATCTTTCCCTGGATGAAAGAGTCGAGGCAGAACACAAAACAGAAAACCAGCGGCTCCAGCTCAGGTAAACTTGTGTCTTCTGCCAGAGGGTCCTATGCTCTGAGCCCCAGGCCACTTCCAAACTGTTACCAGCACAACCTGGGAGCACTGGGACATTTCCAGAAATCATCAAATCCCCCCCCCCAAGGTTTCTAGAATCTTTGCAAGTTAGAGAAGTGATATGGTTTCTGTGGGCCAGGAAACCCCAGACATAAACCTGATTGGAGTCCCTCCAACCTCTCCAAGGGCAAGTTTGAGCCTGTTGAAGTTGGATCCCCTCCTTGTTCCAGTGCTAGAGTTTTGACCTCTAGGCAGAAAGGCCACAGTCTGTCTTTAAAAAGCACAGTTCCTCTTTTCTAATAAAACAATAACATCCTCCCCCATAGTAAAAGGCGGCAGGCCTACTCATCCTCCAAGTCAAAATCCATGCTTTGTCTATAATCAGAGCCAGTTTTTCCCCTAGCAGATGGAATGGCTGCCTCAACTCTGGTCAGGCCTTGCTTAGATTTAGCACAATGAAGGCAGCCAGGAATGTCCTTTGGGAGGAGATTCAACTTGTCACCCTAATGGGAACCACATAGGGCTTTTGGGACTGGACACCAGTGGTGGAACTGACCTCCAAGCCTTGGGCCTCCTATTATCTTGGTTATCTTTCCCTTTGCCTTCTCCAGTTGTCAGTGCCCTCTGCTTAGCCACAGTATCTGGACCGTCTAGAAACCTCTAGAGCGGGTATTTGGGGGAGGGGGCGGAAGGAGGATAAGCAGGTGAAAGAGTAGTGGGCCAACTTGAGCAGCCTACCTGATGACATTGAGAGCCCTAATGACTAAGATGGATCTTGAGGGTCCTGGACCTTCCCACCAGAACTAGATAGCTTCAGTGGGACTCCTTTGGTCAATGAAGACCTTTGAAGTTTTCACTCTTAGCATTTCCCTTTGGTAGATTTAAAACTGACTGGTTGAAGGTAATGGTACAGCAAGGGAGGGAAAGGTCTGGGTGTTCACATTAGGGCTTCTACATTTCAGCTGTGAAGGGAATGAAGATGGTGACACCTGCCCACAGGAAGCTTGTTGTCTAATGGGCCAGTACTGTGAGTCAGAAAATGTCAAGCTCCAGAAAGGAAATGCAGGCTAGGCAAACAGGAGGTCCTGTGTTTCTGCCCTTTCTCCCTTGGAGAAACCTGTGATATCTGTTCCTTAGCTGAAGGACTGTCTAGTTAAGATCGTTAAGTACATCCCCCCCACCCCCCCACCCCCACCCTCGTGGTGGATGCTGAATTCCTATTCTTCCAGGGCCCCTGGACACAGGGTCTTTGGGGCTGAAGAAAGGAGGAAGGAGGAGCCTGACTGGGGCTGGGAGCTGGGCGGGGCCTCCTGCCGCCCCTGACACCGCTCTTCCTCTCTGTCCTGGCAGGGGAGAGCTGCGCTGGTGACAAGAGCCCGCCTGGGCAGGCCTCGTCCAAGCGCGCGCGCACCGCCTACACGAGCGCGCAGCTGGTGGAGCTGGAGAAAGAGTTCCACTTCAACCGCTACCTGTGCCGGCCGCGCCGGGTGGAGATGGCCAACTTGCTGAACCTCACTGAACGCCAGATCAAGATCTGGTTCCAGAACCGCCGCATGAAGTACAAGAAAGACCAGAAGGGCAAAGGCATGCTGACCTCGTCGGGGGGCCAGTCCCCAAGCCGCAGTCCGGTGCCTCCGGGCCCTGGAGGCTATCTGAACTCTATGCATTCGCTGGTCAACAGTGTCCCTTATGAGCCCCAGTCACCCCCGCCCTTCTCCAAGCCCCCCCAAGGCGCCTACGGGCTGCCTCCCGCCTCCTACCCTGCTCCCCTGCCCAGCTGCGCACCCCCACCGCCCCCACCGAAGCGCTACGCTGCGGCGGGGTCGGGCGCAGGGGGAACCCCAGACTACGACCCGCATGCCCACAGCCTGCAGGGCAACGGCAGCTATGGGACCCCACACTTACAGGGAAGCCCCGTCTTCGTGGGGGGCAGCTATGTGGAACCCATGAGCAACTCCGGGCCGGCACTCTTTGGCCTAACTCACCTCCCCCACCCCACCGCGGCTGCCATGGACTATGGGGGCACTGGGCCACTAGGCAGCGGTCATCACCATGGGCCGGGGCCTGGGGAGCCCCACCCCACCTACACGGACCTTACCGCCCACCATCCTTCTCAGGGAAGAATTCAGGAAGCGCCCAAGCTCACCCACCTGTGATGGTGGGCTCAGGCTGCGTGCCAGGAGAGTTGCCCTCCCCACCTTTTTACTTTGGTTCCTTTTTTTCCTTTTTTTTTTTTTTTTTAAGTTTTTCCGGCCCCTCCCTTTTCTCCTCTGCACCCCTCCCTCGTTTTTTTTCTTTGGTAATGCGTTCTTATAGTTTATGTGACGTAGCAATCTTTGTTGCTATAAAGGCTGTCAGTATCAGTAGCGATGTTTATCTCTGCCTATCCCCCCACTAGGCCTCTGGCCCTGCACCCTCTACCCTCTCCACTCTTTGATCAGAAACAGGGTATATGAACAAATTTTCTAGTAGAGTTTTCAATGTGAATTTGTTCGTACGTTATGGCTTCCAAGAGGAAGCTGTTCCGTGGTTTTTTTATTTTTAAGTTTTAGTTTTTTAAATTGCACTTCTGTAATGAGCGAGAAAAAAGAAATCAAAGGCGCTTTGAAACAGGGACTCCCTGTGCAAAGATGACTAGAGTACGTCTTTCCGTGTGTGTATGCTGGTGAACAGTCAGATTTATTTATATTTTTTGCAAGCATTGAATAGTCTAAGTTTTAAATATTATTTATCCCCATCCGTTCGTATTTATATTAAAGAATTCTGTACCCTGATTGTTCAGAAGGGTTCTTGAGCCTTTTGTTCAATGGTATATTGGCGTACATATAAAAATTTATTTGAAAGGGAAATATAATTCCTTTATAAAATGGTAATGATGCAATAAGACCGCAGAGGATCCAGCGTTTGAAAACAGTGGTTTAGGTTTGTAACATCCGGCAAAACTGAAAAAACAATCTGTGAACGCTAAAAATGCTAGATTTGTTTGGAGAGTTTTACATTCCTTGCTGCTCACATTCTGAGAAACAAAAAAATAAAGTTTTTATTCTGATTAAGATTCGTGTCAAAGGGGTTCTTTGGCTGAAGATGGGGCTATGCGTGGAATCCGGCAGAGGCGAGCTGGCGGAATGGGCTGTGGCATCACTCGGACTCTGGCGTGCGGCCTGGCCAGGCGACTCGCCCGGAAGCTCGGCTAGTTCCCGGGGAAGGAGGTTGGGGTTCCAGGCGCGCGCTGCAGCTCGGGGCGGGACAGGCTAGTCTGGTTCCCAGCTGCCGCGGAGGCTGGCGGAGGGCGCAGAAGAAACAAAGGCAGCGCGGCCCAGGCGCGGCGGGGGGCGCACAGGTGCGGGCCGAGCACGCACAGGGAACCCCAAGGTCCTCTCCGCGTATTCCCGGCAAAAGCGGACCAACCTTAACCTCGGGAATTAAGAGCAGCGCGGGGTACTGAGCCCTTCCCAGAGCAATTGGTTTCCTGGTCTCCATCGCGGATGTTTCATGGTCCATTAATCGAGACCGGAGGAAAAAACGCTCTCCTAAAATCGCCAAGCCGAGTGAAGCAGTTCCAAAGGGATTAAAGCTGCCTTAGGTCGCGAGCAACAGAAGGGCTGAGCTGACGAGTCCCTAAGCCCTTTCCTGGTCTGGAAGGAATGCCTCTCTAGAACCTCAGCATCAGCTCCCTCCCGGATCTTAGCATTTGCCACTCTGGATTTATTTCTGCTCATTCTACCCTCCCAGCTTTCTTTTTTATGGCCCCAGAGGGAGGGGGAGAAAGAAAGGAGATTGGTATCTTTCTAATAAAAATGCAATTGTATATAAGTACTTCTTTTATTTGTTGCTACATAACCTAAATATTACATTTCCGCTTTTGGATTTAAGATAGAACTGCCGACTGGCTCACTGGCTAGCAGAGTCAAAGGCAGACACCGGAAAAAGGAAATATTTCTATCTTCAGGTTAAAGAAGCCAAATTCAGAAAATGCAAACCTCAGAGCTGTATCCCATCTCCAACCCCCTCAAAGCTGGAAGTGAACCGCTTGCGTCTGGGGAATCTGGAGCATCTGAGCCCCCATGCTCCCTGGATTGCATCTTTCAGAGGCAGAAGTGGAAAATGTCGCCATTTTGTTTGCAATCTCAAATATCCATCATCATGGCCTCTACCCGCCCCCCAACTTCCCTCAGAACATCCTTAGAAGCAGGCACTGGAGGCATTTCTGGGTACCTGCTGAGTCCCAGTGAGGAGCTTCTAGGGAACCTTTTTCATGTTTTAGGAAAAAGAAAAATCTTGGAGGACACAAAGCCAGGCTGCTGTGAAGGGTGATTTTCACACCCAAAGGAGCTTTCTCCACATCTGTCCTCTGGTTTCTGATATATGTTTGCTTTTCAGAGAATTTGGCTTATAAGTGGATTTGCTCCCCTCACCCCAACCTCCCTACAAAAATATGGAATATGGCGTGCACCTCAGAAATGCAGAGGCTAGAAAACCAGTCTTTTTGAAGACTAGAGCCTTTTGGTTGTTCATGCTGAGCAGATTTAGGAGCCTTCTTTTTAAATAAGCATTTTAGAAGCATGAATAAAATTGCCTGGGAAAATAAGGAACAGTGTCAAGAAGAGAAGGGGGAGAAGGGGGAGGGGAATGAGATGATCTCCATCTGAATATCTTTGAAATATTCTTTAAGGAAAGAATGGTTTGAAAGCTCCCTCCTTCCCTCAGGGCAGAGATTGTAAAATGAGATTCTAATATGATTTCCTATATCTTGCTAGTCAAGGCATTAATTTTGGCTTTCAAAAGAAAAAACTCTATCTTATCCTCAGCTTCCTGGATATTAAAAAGAAATCCTTATTAAAATATCTCCTGAGTTAAAGTAATAGGTTTGGGGAAGATTTCAATGTTGAGCAGTCTAAGAAAAGGTCATTCTTCCAGATGGTGTTTGAATTAAAGTGGCTGAGAGAGGCAGAAAGCTCTCACCCACGCAGCCCCTGACAAAGCCCAGTAATGTGGAGGCAGCTCTGCTCCCTAACTCTCCTCTCCTTCACCCTTCAGCACTTTCTGGTAAAAGCAAATGTCCACCATCCCAGAATCCACAAAACACCCTTCCTAAAAGCAGTCTTATAAACCTTTCCATATATATATATATATATTTTTTTTTTGGAGCTGAGGACCAAATCCAGGGCTTTATATGACTAGCATTCCTTGTTTACTTGCATTTCCTGCTCTCCTCTTTGCTCAGCCACATTTGATCTTGGATAAAGCTTGAAGCTGAAATGTGTTCTTAAGGGCCAGAGGCTGTCAAGGCTTTTGGTGAGCAAGATTGATCACACCCAGACTTCCTTCAGAGCTTTGTTTGGAATAAAAGCAAAAAACCTGAAAAACCTTACATTTTCCAAACTAGCATCTCTATCTGTAGGCAGTGATCTGGACTGGTCAAATTGGAGGCCACTTTATATCTCATTTCCAACCCAAATCTCTTGGATGTGGGCCTGAGCTGGAGCTCAAGCCTTGCTTCTTGGTCAGCCTTTCCTGTTTTCTGCATAGAATTTTCTCCCTCACCAATCTCGCTTTCCTTGGCCATCAGAATGATTTATTTTCCTGCCACTGATGCCTGCCGGCCTGGGGGAGTCTTGATCACTTGGTCCATTTCAAAGGAAGCAAAAGCAAATCACCATCCTTTGAGTTTGGGGTTGAGAAGGTACCTTTGGATCTCTCTCTCCTTTCTGGTTTGGTGATTTTTTATTTTAAAGTTCTTGCTTGGTACCTAAAAGTGTTATATTTTGAACCCTTCAGCACTGTCCAGCACTCAACCTCAAATCAGAATCAGAGAAAATAGAATGAAAGCGCAGGAGCAACTGTAACTCCTGGAGTCGCCCTGTCTCGAAGTGCTGTTTCCCATAACAGATCCCGGTGCAAACCTCCCTGGTGTCCAAGAGCAGGAAGGTGTGGGAGGCAAATTCAGGCTGCCAAGAAACATTCGCAACGTCTGAACCAACCAGCCCCCAAGAGAGCAGCGAGAACTCAGAGAAGAAGGGTAGGAGGGAAAAGGGAGAGGGAGAGAAACCAGCGTCTTCTTCCTCCCTGCAGATAAGTTCCAGCAGACTTCCTGGAAATCGGAAATACTCACCGCACCCGAGCCCTACGGGTATGAAACCCAGAATGCCAGGAGCCGCACGCGCCTGCTCGGGGCGTCATTTCTTTGGCTGGCCGCTGCCCAGGCTACGGGGATTTGGACACAAGAACCTGGACTGCTGTCTCTCTTGGCACATGCATCTATCTTTCTCCAGCCACTCCTGAGAAGTTGATGGCGCAGGAAGGTCGGCAAGCTTCAAGAGCTGCCTCTTGTTCTTCGCTTCCCACAGGAGCCAGATGCAAAGCTGCTGAGGAAAAGCCGGCTAACAATGGGCCGGGGGCTCAGGTCCCAGGCTGGACATTGAGAGGGGGTGAGGGGCTGTGGGGGAGGAGAGGAGAACAGAGTGGGGGGGGGGGGAGAAGAGGAAAAAGAAAAAGAGGGAGAGAGGGAGGGAAGTTGGGAGGGAAGGAGAGGAGAGGAGAGAGAGAGAGAGAATGAATATGAATGGACTCTGAGGTATAGGAACTGGTTTTTAGGAAAAATATGGGAGGAAAGGGAAATAAAAGGGGAACCCCCCAATCTCTCTCTCTCTCTCTCTCTCTCTCTCTCTCTCTCTCTCTCTCTCTCTCTGACACACACACACACACACAATGTCAAAGTGGAGTCCCTCAAATTCAGAACAAAGCAGACACAAGGACAACACAGAGAGGAACATTCAGAATCCTCCTTCCTCCTTCTTCCTGCCTTAGCAGAACTTATGTGGTTGGGATGCGAGGGCCCACGGGTGTCAAAACTTTGAAGATTAATGGATTACTTTCTTAATGACTGCAGGCGTCAGACTGAGGTGCTTAAATGATTTGTGAGGTGCGAGGCGTCTTCCCGACAGTCCCAATGTCACAACTGGGGGGGGGGGGGGGGGGGGGGGGGGGAGGAGGCAGAGGGCAGCGGCTGGCGGGACCGGCAGCAGGGCTCACGCGCACACACTGACTTGGGGATCTGGAAGCAAGCAGGCACCCTCTCCCCACGCACTCCCTGGCATTCCCATCCACACCCACATATATGTATTTTTGCTCTGAAAAAAGTGTAAATAAAGCCTCGCTGCCCCCCAATGAGGCGTTCCTTTCCGACTTTTTTGGATCAATCAAACAGACAGTGGCTTCTTTTGATTAAAGCCCAAATTGTCATTGGGCAGAAGCAATCATGTGACAGCCAATTCGGTCCAATTTCAACCTTGTCTCCATGAATTCAATAGTTTAATAGTAGCGCGGTCCCCATACGGCTGTAATCAGTGAATTAGAAAAAAAACACCCAAGCAGCGATCTTCTATGATAGATTTTTTTTTTCCTCCGCGCTCGCCTTTTTCCTGGGCCTTGCCCCCCCAAAGCCCCTCCAAAAGAGGGAACTTTTTCTCCGAGGGGGCTCCAAGGAGAAGGCCATGAATTACGAATTTGAGCGAGAGATTGGTTTTATCAATAGCCAGCCGTCGCTCGCTGAGTGCCTGACATCTTTTCCCCCTGTCGCTGATACATTTCAAAGTTCATCAATCAAGACCTCGACGCTTTCACACTCGACACTGATTCCTCCTCCTTTTGAGCAGACCATTCCCAGCCTGAACCCGGGCAGTCACCCTCGCCACGGCGCTGGCGGCCGCCCCAAGTCGAGCCCCGCGGGCAGTCGCGGCAGCCCGGTGCCCGCCGGCGCCCTGCAGCCTCCCGAGTACCCCTGGATGAAGGAGAAGAAGGCGGCCAAGAAAACCGCGCTGCAGCCCGCCGCCGCCGCCGCCACGGGCCCTGCCTGCCTCGGCCACAAAGGTCAGTCCCGAGACTTGGCCCCAGGTCCCCAAGACCCTCTTGCCCCTCTGGGCTGCTCCGAAGGCGGCTATGGGGGGAGGGGAACGTGGGCTTCGAGGGATGGGGAGAGGAAGAGATGCTTGGATGCCGGTCCCCTGCCCCTCTGGGCTCAGAGAGGGGATTTGATGGAGGGGCAGAGAGACCCTGAGCTCCACAATAAGACATATATTTTGAGGAGAGGGGGGGAACTTTTCCTAACTTGTGTAATGTGGGATGATTTATTTGAGTTGGAACTGACCTCCTCTTGTCTAGCTGTCCTAGAGTTTGGCTTTTTGACAGTAATGAAGAGTGATAGATCGCTCTTGCTCAGCTAAGCAGCTGATGCATTAATTATAAATTGTGTTGTAGCTAATATAAAGTTTGCTCCCGGATGAAGAGGTTGGGGGGAGCCACAGGCAGGAATTTGATAGAGGTGGAGGACATGGGGCTTCCCGGCTGGGCTCCCAGGAAAGCAGCACAATAGCTCACTACATCCAGGGGCGGCCATTTTGTTGCAGTTGATCTTTTCTGCTGTATTTATTCTCCAGTGGAATAACCCCCGCTCGGACCCCTCCATCTTCAACTGTGCGTGTGTCTCTTGTTGGTTTCCCTTTCCGCAGAATCCCTGGAAAACGCTGATGGCAGCGGTGGGGGTTCGAGGCGCCTGAGAACTGCTTACACCAACACGCAGCTTTTAGAGCTGGAAAAGGAATTTCATTTCAACAAGTACCTTTGCAGACCCCGAAGGGTGGAAATTGCAGCGCTGCTGGATTTGACTGAGAGACAAGTGAAAGTGTGGTTTCAGAACCGGAGGATGAAGCACAAGAGGCAGACCCAGTGCAAGGAGAACCAAAACAGCGAAGGGAAATTTAAAAGCCTTGAGGACTCAGAGAAAGTGGAAGAGGATGAGGAAGAGAAGTCACTGTTTGAACAAGCCCTTAGCGTCTCCGGGGCCCTTCTGGAGAGGGAAGGTTACACTTTTCAGCAAAATGCCCTCTCCCAGCAGCAGGCTCCTAATGGACACAATGGCGACTCCCAAAGTTTCCCAGTTTCGCCTTTAACCAGCAATGAGAAAAATCTGAAACATTTTCAGCACCAGTCACCCACTGTTCCTAACTGCTTGTCAACAATGGGCCAGAACTGTGGAGCTGGCCTAAACAATGACAGTCCCGAGGCCCTCGAGGTCCCTTCCTTGCAGGACTTTAACGTTTTCTCCACAGATTCCTGCCTGCAGCTTTCTGATGCAGTGTCGCCCAGTTTGCCAGGTTCCCTGGACAGTCCTGTAGATATCTCCACTGACAGCTTTGACTTTTTTACAGACACACTCACCACAATCGACCTGCAGCATCTGAATTACTAAAAACATTAAAGCAAAACAAAGCGTCACAAACAAAAACCACTTTGACCAGGTGGTTTTGCCTTTTTTTTTTTTTTTTCTGGGAGTTGATTTTTGTTTTATTTTCTCCTTGATCTACCCCCACTCTTTTAAATGTTGAGGATTTTCTGTTCTGTTTAGTGATTTCCTCTGACCCAGTTTCAAAGCCATCTCTTACAGATTATGTTGGAGTTTTAGTAGTTTTAAACAGAATCCAACAACCTTCTGTGTGATTTTCCTGAACACAGAACACAAAGCCTGCAAGAAAGTGATCATAAATTGTCTTGTCACTTTCTTTTTATTTTTGTATTACACTAGGATGCAATGTCATGGGTATTTTTTGGTAGAATAAATTCTCCTTTGCTATAAAGTAGCTTCTTAATTTTTTTCTCCCCCTCTTTCTCAAGGCTCATAATGATTTCTTTTTCTTCTTTTAGTCTAACATGGTAAATAAAAGTCTGATCACAATTTACCCTTTTCAATTTTAATATTTTATTAGGGTGGCATGTTCAGAGTCTACAGTAGACAGCAACAAAGAAAGAAGCCAGAAAATGGCTAGTGCTTCTGACAAGTGGTTTTTTTTTGTTTTTGTTTTTTTTAATAAAAGGAATGGATTTGGTTTTCAGTGTAGAGACTCAAGTCACAGTAATAGAAACAGGATTGGTCCGCCTGAGTTGGGCCCAGCCCAAGCTTTTGAAAGTGGAGAAATAAAGCAGCTACAGGACAGAGTTATGTGGAGTTTCTTTAACAAGCTCCCAGTCTCCAGGTCATTAACCAAGTTATCAAAAATTCATTTATTTATACACATTTGTTTCAAACATCTACATTCCAACCCTTCCCCCAACCCACCATCATTTTCAGTGTGGTTGATTAATCTCCCAGCTGTTGATGGGTTCAGGCAAAACAGACCTAAAAGACAGAGGGAAACACAATAAAGCAAAGCAATGGTTACTAGCTGGGCCATGCATGCCAGGAGGGGTCTTTCCAATCTTCTGGTGCAGTCATTCTAGGAATCCCCCCCACCCCCACCCCCAGGGTCTGAAAAAAAATCAATATTTAATTCTTAAATTTGTTTACATTGCTAATAATAGATGATTAAAGCTTTGAAGTCAGGTTAGCAAGTTGAGATTTAAAACGGGGTGTTTCTGCACTCTAGATTATTAATTAACCCAGTTTCCTAGACAGAGAAAGAGCACTTTAAATGAAATACCAATAAAATGTGATCTAGGGCATGTTACTGGGTTGCTCTGTTTTTTCCCCTCCTTTTGTCTCTCCCATATTTATTTTCCCCTTTCTGGGCTATGTTCTGACGGCTTACTTAACCTGAGAAAAAGCAGCAACATGTGTGTGGGGCTAGCTGATTTAAGAACCCAGCTCTTAACAGCAAAGGCTTGGAAGTTACAATGAAATCGCAATCTTTCTTCAGGGGTTTGCGCTCTACCTTCCTCCACCCTTCACTTTCTAAATCCCGCAACGGCCGGCGTGTGGGGACTACAGGCATTTCAGGTCCCAGGCCGCGCGCGTAGCTGGGCGTTCCGGCTGTGGCCGTGCTGTGCCGCAGCTCCTGGATGCAATTCGTCCTAAGCTCATAAATCAAACGCTTTCTATGAATGAGAATGTCATCAAAGAGATCAATTGCAGGAACACATGCACAAATAAAACTCCTCTTACGTATTTGCCGGGGCTCCCCGTCCGAAAGCATTAAGTTAGAAAGCGTTTAGTCATAATTCATTTTTATTGCTCTTTTAAAACAACAGCTTGGCTGAGCCGCGGATGCCAAGAACAGCTCCGGACCTTGGCGGCGTTTTGTCTCCTCCTCGCTCATTCCCTTTCTAGTAGAAGAGCTCTGAAAGAGGCGCTTTGAGCCAAGCGAGCCGCTTGCAGGGGATTATTTCAGTCATGGCCCAAGCTCGCCTTTCACCCACTCTCCTGGGGCTATTTAAAGAGACTTTAGCTCGATTCCTGCGTGGGTAGCTGGCCGACTAGCTGAAAGGACCCCGCCGAAGGCCCTCAGGATCCTTCCAGGATGGGGGCTGGGAATAGAAGCCGAGCTACGAAGGCCTAGCGGCTGGAGGCCGGGGGAGGCTGCCTTTGAGAGCCACGGGGAGAGAGGCCGAGCCTGAGGGGCTGGGCAGGAGCCGCGAGCAGTACGCCGAGACTGGACCGTGGTTGGCTAGTGTCTGAGGGTTCCAGTGCGAGTGCATATTTGTGATCCCAAGGAAAACATCCCACCCAGGCCTCCCAGAAATGAGGCCAGGAGAAACAGAGTTAGAGGGAGAGGGGCGCAGAGGCCGTGAACTAGCATAAGAGGGAGGGCAGCTGAGGCTGGGGGCGGCTTTGAGACAGGTGTCCCAGGGCCAGGAGAGGAGGGCTGTGCAAATCCTGACCAAGGAGGCCCATAAAGGGTAGGAATGAGGCAAGGGAGAAAAGAAATGGATTGCCCTCCGCTGGGAGAGCAGATCGCAGGCATCATCCGCACCTTAACCCTTTACTGCTTTCTGACCCTGTCGCCGGATGCCTGACCTCCCAGGGAAGCCTACTCTGAGAGGCCTGCCTCTTTTCTCAGGATGATTCTGCGGGAGCTGAAGTTAAGGCAGGAGGAATTTTCCAGTCCTTGCTCCCTCTTAAACCACTTAGGAGTGGGTCAACGGTCAGAGAAATGCGAACCCCAAAATAAATGTTTTGGGGGAAAATATTCCGATCCTACTAAGCGAATCCAGGGACAAAGTTCCACTTAAGCTTCTCAGGAAGGTCAGGTTGGGGGGGGGATGTCTATAGATGGAGAGCTCCACACAGAAGTCTGGAAGAGTGACTTAACACATTTGAAAAGTTCCTGCCTGGAGGAAAACGTCCCTATTCTAAAAGGGAGGGGAAACCCCAAACTCACACATATTCTACTATTAATTTCATGTCTGATCTGAGGCTATAAACATGGTCAGAATAAAATCTATGCAGAATTAGCTGCAAAGCTTCTTAGGTGACCTCTGGATTTTTCCTACTTAAGACTGTATCCATTCTCGGTCCCTGCGTGGCCTTTTCTCTCTACAAGCCCAGGGTTGACATGAAACCCAATGGTAAAGAGCAATTAACGACCCCATTAGTCTGAATGTGAGACGAAGGTGATGGAGGACAGGGACCCTGGCCTGGGATGACGCTCACATTTGCACGTGTGCCTCTGGGAAATGACCTGAAAGTTCACACAAGCAACTACACAGTCCGTTGGAAAGTGTCCTATCCACTTAGCCATCTGTCCACTGTCCCTCCCACCCACCCCCACTCCAGAAGTGCAATCGATGGGGGAGGGAGAGGAGAGTCTCCCATTCCTAATATGCCCCTCCAGAAAAAGAGAAACGGGTCGGGGACTTCTGCATACTTTGTAGGAGCTGTGATCCGAGGCCTACGCCGGAGCGCGCAGGCTCCAGGGTCTCTTTAGAGCGGTCAGAAGGCCTGCAGCACCCAGCCCGGCCCTCACGCCGGCCACGTCTGCTAGCGTCATCTCTCCCCCGCCTTCTATCCCTTTAACTCCAGCGATCTGGTGGCTCGGGAACCCGCCGGGTTCCCGGAGCAAAGCGAAGCAGGGAGGAGAAAGGGGCGGAGTGCGAGGAAAGAGGGAGGGCCGAGAACAGCGTGGCCACCCCGGGCCTTTCTCTTAGAGCAAGGTTTCCGGGGCTCACCCCCCCGCCCCCCGGTCGAATTACAGGAGCTCCCAGGGCCTCGCTAATGGCCAGTAGGAGATGGGGGAAAGGGCGCCGAGACGCTAGGAGGACGGAAGTTTCTTTTCTGGCTCTGGTCCCCTCTAGACCTACCCCGGTTCCTCCCAGGCCATCCTCTGCGCACGTCCCTCTCCGTTCCGAGCTCCCCGAGCCAGGGACGCCGCCGCGCCCTCGGCCCCAGCGACCGCGGAACAGGTCTCCCGGCGGAGACTGCTCGGTGGCAGCGAGCTGGGAGCCGAGGGCGTGGTGTCGGTTGGAGTCCCACCCTTCCGGCTCCGCGACCTGCGGCCTCCCGGGGAGCTGCGGCCCCCTGATGCCCTCCCCTAGAGAGCCCGGAGCCCTCGTCCTTTCTCACCTCTTGCCAGTTCACCTTTCTGGGCCGGTTCGGAAAGGAACTGGGGAGGGTCGCTTCCCAGCCCCCACCTCCCGGAGGCGGGGGCGAGCGGAGTCGAGCGCGCGCAGAAGGCAGTCTGTTCCCCCTAGGCCTCAGAGCCCCGAATCAGCCTCCGCCGCCGCCGCAGCTGCAGCTGCCGCCTGGGTTGCCTGGGGGGGCGACTGCGCGTCACCTTGACGGAGGAGCGCCGGGGATTTAAATGCCACTGAAACGGTGATCCATCACCGCCGGAGCCTGCAAACTTTCGCAGGAGGCTCAGCCATTGGCTGATAAAGTCACGTGGACCTCCCCTCGCACCCTCCGCCTTCCCGCCCCGCCTCCTGCGCACTGTACATTCATATCATTTTTCTTCTCTGGCCTCATGGAGGAAGTGAGAAAGTTGGCACGGTCACCCAGGGCTTCGCAGGACCCAGTCATTCAGTGACACATGGACACTGCAAGAATGAGCTCCTTCTTGGAATATCCCATCCTTAGCAGTGGCGACTCCGGGACCTGCTCCGCGCGAGCCTACCCCTCGGATCATGGGATTACAACTTTCCAATCCTGCGCCGTCAGTGCCAACAGCTGCGGCGGCGACGATCGCTTCTTAGTGGGCAGGGGGGTGCAGATCAGTTCGCCTCACCACCACCACCACCACCACCATCACCACCATCATCACTCCCAGCCGACTACTTACCAGACTTCTGGGAACCTGGGGGTGCCCTACTCCCACTCGAGTTGTGGTCCAAGCTATAGTGCGCAGAACTTCAGTGCGCCTTACAGCCCTTACGGCTTAAATCAGGAAGCAGACGTAAGTGGTGGGTACCCCCCGTGCGCTCCCACTGTTTACTCTGGAAACCTCTCATCTCCCATGGTACAGCATCACCACCACCACCAGGGTTATACTGGGGGCACGGTGGGCTCGCCTCAGTACATTCACCACTCATATGGACAAGAGCATCAGAACCTGGCCCTGGCCACGTATAATAACTCCCTGTCCCCTCTCCACGCCAGCCACCAAGAAGCCTGTCGCTCACCTGTGTCGGAGACATCTTCTCCAGCCCAGACCTTTGACTGGATGAAAGTCAAAAGAAACCCTCCCAAAACAGGTGAGTCCTGCCGGCGAACAAACTAAACGCTCTTGATTTTTGAAAGTGCCCGGTTTGCTTAATTTCAGAGGAAAATGAATAATGAATTTTTAAGCAGGGTTCTTGCTTCTGGCTAGTAGTGTATACTGTTGGAGTGAATGAAGAAAGTGCGCGGGTTTGTTGGTCAAAGGAGTCTTTGGAACTAGTTTTTTCTTTTTTTCAAAAAGGCTGAGGTTTAAGTGTTCTGGAAGTAGGAAGCCTATGGTGGTGGTGGTGGTGGTGGGGCGGTGGTGATAGTCTTCTGTTACTATCTCCAGGATCCATTAATCATAGATCTGATCATCCAAATGAATGACTTCAGGTTAACACTTTGCATCTCATCACTTGTCCTCCCCAGCCTGATCTGTGTTGAGGAGTTCTCGATCCACCCTTTACCTGAACCATAGGGGAACCTAATACTGATTTAAGATTTTTTTTTTTTGGAGACAGGGTCTCACTATATAGCCCTGACTGGCCTAGAACTTGCTATGCAGACCAGGCTAGCCTTGAACTCACAGAGATCTGCCCGCCTCTGTCTCCCAGATGCTGGGATTAAAGATGTGCAGTATCATTCCTGTAGCCCCAGCTGTCCTGGAACTCACTACGTAGACCAGGCTGGCCTCGAACTCACAGAGATACGCCTGCCTCTGCCTCCCGAGTGCTCGTATTAAAGGCTTGCGCCACCACGCCTTGGCTAATTCAAGAATTTTTAACTTTCCCTCTCTTCCTACCCAACCCCAGGGAAAGTTGGAGAATATGGCTACGTGGGTCAGCCCAACGCAGTGCGCACTAACTTCACCACCAAGCAGCTCACGGAGCTGGAGAAGGAGTTCCACTTCAACAAGTACTTGACACGCGCCCGCAGGGTGGAGATCGCTGCGTCCTTGCAGCTCAACGAGACCCAGGTGAAGATCTGGTTCCAGAACCGCCGGATGAAGCAGAAGAAACGTGAGAAGGAGGGGCTCTTGCCCATTTCTCCCACCACCCCTCCAGGAAGCGATGAAAAGGCCGAGGAATCCTCAGAGAAATCCAACTCCTCACCCTGCGTTCCTTCTCCTGGGTCTTCTACCTCAGACACTGTGACTACCTCCCACTGAGGCCACCCCAGCCCCAGCCCCAGGTCCCAAGCTACTCCCAGGACTGGGATTTCTAAACCAAAGCACATTCTTAGCTTATCTTCCTTACTTTACAGTCTCTCTCTTCCTTTCTGATCCTATCTGGGGAACTCCTGGCCAGGAGAATGTGTTTCCAGAGAATTCTGGAGATTGGTTGGATGTTAACTCCTTAATCCCATTGGGTACCAGCATCAATGTCTGGTGGGTCACTAACATCCCGTATTGATCGTTGGAGATTTTTCACAGGACTTACAATTCAATTCCTGTCAGATGGAAAATAGTTCCCTTTGCCAGCAGATACTTGCCAGAGGGAGGTATCTCATCTTTTCCCTGTGCATTACAGTTCTCTACCTTGCCCTTAAGTAGGATTTAAAAAAAGAGGGCCTAGGAACTCACAAAGAAGAGATGCACTATGGGTGTGTTTACACTACTAATCCATTCTTTAAAGTCAGTTTCATATGTGTGAGTTTGTTGGTTGTAAATACTTTCTCTTTAGAGGTTTATCTTTATACAGATTTTCTAGAAACATTTAGGTGACCAAATTGAGCAGGGTGGGCAAACCATAGGTGAAGGATCATATAAACACAATCAAGATGCCTCAGAAGGTAGCCTCAATTTGTTCTTTTAGGGTTAAGAAGCCTGCAAAGCACAAGGTTCAGAACCCTAGCTTTCTGTGCTGTCCCTCCCCAGTTCTACCCAATTCTTGCTTCTCTGGCCGCTCTCTATTTAAAACTTGTGCTGGATTATTTGGATCCTAAAGGTATTCTTTAAATCAACCTTTCTTTCCACAGTGATCTCAGCTGGATATGATATATTTTCAGCTAATTGTTAATGTGATGGATGGCACAATGAATGTATATTTTGTGTGATTCGTGAATAGTCTTTTGCATGTCGCACAATGTTTTGATGTCCCTGAAGTAACACTGAGTTCTATCAGTTATCCTTTGTGAACCCTATGATAGCCCCCATTTCCTGTACAATCATGAACAGCCCTGAGATCCTGGAGTGGTGCGATCCAGAGCAGAGTTTACGGGTCTTAAGATGTCTGTAATAAATATATTCAAGTTTCAGGTATGTTTAAGCATCTGTGTATTTGGCTGGGCTATAATTTGTTGCTTCCTACAGAGATGGCTCATTTCATGTGGAGAAGGAAAGAAGGGTGGTGTGTTTTCAAAGTGAGCCTTCCTTTATCATGTAGCTTGAAGCTTCCTCTATGAGTGTATTTGCCTCTAACCACTGTCTAATGCATTGATTCTGTTTAAAATGACAACAGCTTCTTTATTATAATCAGAGCTGAAACGGGAAAAATGGTGAAGAAGTTTATGAAGGCGATCTATTTTTGAAACAAACATGGATTCTTCCTGGGTCAAGTGCTAACCTTTTCACCTCCAACTGAATGTTGACATATATATAAACAGAGCCCCCTTCAAAAGCTGAAAACTGTCTTCAGTCAGTCTTTCCTCACATCAGTGAACCAAGAGCAAAGAGATTCACATTTAATTAGCTCCAGTATAAAGCTGTGGTGAAGATGCCTCCCCCCACCTTCTTCCTTTTTGGATTGTCTTGCAGAGTTTCAGTATAGTCTACCCTTTAAATTGAGTGTGATCTGTTTTCAATAAACACTTGCATCCCTCCTATTCTTTCCATCAACATCCACCCTTTCCAGCAGCTTCTCACAACTCTGCACTGCACACATCATTCCATTCAATTCAACTTTTATTTCATAGCCATCATGGTTGTAAAGGGTCTACAGTTCTAATCTCATGTGATTTAACTGAAAAAAGTTTTCATTTTCTTTCGCACGGCTTTGTGGAAGTCTTTCTAGGTCCAAATTGTTTCTCAACAAGATTCGTATCAGATCTCAGAGGAAGCCAGCAAAACAGAAAGTTCAATGTAGCTGTCCTTTTCCTTTCACACATTTTTAGGTTTAATCAACATTTTCTAACTTTTCTCCTGGTAGTGCTGGGGATGAACAGCAGATCCTACAGGCTCAGCAACTGGTATGTCAGTCAGCCCCAGTGCCAGTCCCAGCCCCAGCTTTAATACATTTTTTTTTTTTTTGAGGCTTTGAGCCCTTAGAGCAAAGTAGAAAATTTACAGCATCACAAACAGATACAGACATATGACTTCCTTCCTCTTCAAAGGGTGTTTTGAAAGGATGATCTGGGAAGAAAACCCTACAAAACCTTGGAATTTGCCAGTTTCTAGAATGCTTGTGAGATTTCCTGCACTTCCCTGTTAAAAGGGGGAAGCCTAGACTTTGTGAGAGCAGTTGCTGCGGGCATATCAAGGACAGCGGGTGCTGTCCCCTCAGCTGCTGAGTTCTGAGACTGCTTCTAAAAGACTCTAGTGGTTGCAGGAGAACTTCAAAGACATCAACCCTTTCTTTCATTTTCCGCCTAGCTATACAGTATCTTTTGTTTATTAGTGTAAGGCCACAAAGCAAAACAGATGGCTGGTTTTCAAATACTTTAATGTGCTAAAGTGTCATTTGCATGCCACTGTCTTGATTTCAATATCTGAAAGCAGGGGACCTGCAGGAATCTCAAAGATTCCAATCTTCTAGGTGCTGGTTTTCACATAGCTGAGAGGGAAGGGCAGGATGAATTGTAGCTAAACTTCCCTAGCTGTCTGTTGGTCTCTGAATAAATCAGTTAACAAGCAATGCATTTAGGAAACATTAATATACATTTCAACAAGAAAAACATTTGTATCTTTTTAGCTGTCCCAATCGATTAAATTAAAGGCACTTAACACATTCTATTTCAAGGTCTTCCTTTTTCTGTTCTGGTCTCTGAGGAATACATCTAACTCCATGAAAAATGACAGCAATTGTAACTGAACCCATCTAAAGAGGGAAAACAGAAAGTACCATTTTATTGATACATTTGAAAAACAAAACAAGGGTCTTAATTAGGGATCCCAGGTAATTGCAATATAAAATTTCTTTTCAAATGCTTTTCCTTTGCTTCCTCTATTTTCATCCAAAGTACTCCCTAAATTTAGGGTGTCCTAAAATCAGACTGAGTGAGGTCTTGCTGTGCCTCTGGAGTGTGCTCTGGGCTTCACCTTTGGGAGTTTACTTTTGGAGGCTCTTCAGTTGCGGGGTGTTTTCCTCTGGGGCAATCAGATTCAAACCGATCAATATTTACTCAGTCTGAAAGGGTTGTTGAAAAGGCTGCTAACAACAAACTGCTTAGCTGCTCGCCCCTGTTTAATCTCAGGTTCACCGAAAGTTCAAGAAGAGATGAATGCAATGATGGGTCACTTTAGAATGAGTCCCAGCAGTTTATCGAGCTCTCAGCTAAAGGCAACAATTATAGTTCCATCCCTCTTTGGAAAAGGGGCAACTTTCCTATTATTCTTTTGCTAAACAATGTTTACTAGAAACTTAAATCACTTTCCTCTTCCCTTCTAGTTTTTTTGGGGGGGCGGTGGAGCAGGGGCACAGCCCCTCTGTTTTTCTGCCAACCCACGTAGGTTTGAGTTAAAATAAATTACAGCAAATAGTTTAAAAATATTTAATTATTCTAACAGAGGTGCTCTGATTTATTTCATATGCCACAAACTGTGAAATAAAACTCTTTGGGCTATTAGGGTTTAGCTTTGTGAAAGGATAGGACAAGATTTAATTAAAATCCATTTGTTTTTGAGTAATATAGACAATCAGAACTCCAATATCTGAAATGGTTATTCAGACAGGAGTGGAGGGGAAAATTGACTTGGGCAGTAGCAAATTTTGGGCTGGTAAGTCAGCTTTAAAAAATTCACAATCTTTTAGTGCATAAACCACAGAGAGAGAAAAAAAGACCAAAGGAAGGCTGTGGGGAATGCTGGGTAAAAAATGCTGGACACTGAAGCTAATTGCTACAGCTTTTCAGAGGTCAAAGTTCATGTAATCACTGCATAAATGCATACTAAATAGGGGTTTATTAAGCTTTCCTGATGGCTGAGCACGCCTGTAAAAAATGGTGGCTGCTGTTTGTGTTTCTTCCTTAAGAATAATCGTTCTTGAAGTAGAAACTCTAGGTGTTTGAGTCTGATTTACCATTTTGAGAGACAGGAGTGTTCTCTTGTAAAAATTTGAAATCATAGACAGCATCTTTATGTTGGATGAGACTGTAAAATGCCTCTCATTCTTAGAAAATCTCTGGCTTTTCAACGCACGCGCGCGCACACACACACACACACACACACACACACACGTTAGCACGCCCCTATCAGATAACCACTCAGTGGGTGGCTAACCCTGGCTACTCACTGTCATAGATAAGCCCACTTTCTGGTTGCCTGAGAGCACACAGCTCTGCCTCAGAACACCTTGTGCCTCAATGACTAGAACTGAATGAGACCCATCTATCTAACCTTTCACTTTATGGATCAGGAAAAGGTATCCAATGACAACTGATTTGAAGGCGAGTCAGTAATCAGTTATTTACTGGCTAAATAAAAAACAGAGTAACTTAAAATCTGAGTCCAGATGATTTTTAAAATTCAAGTTTTGCCTTTTCCCCAACAATTTACTCTGTGTAATTTCTTTCAGAATAGGTAATGTTTAATTTTTTCTATTTTTGTTTTATTGGTCAGTTAGTCAAATCCCTGATTTTGAACCTATTGGGACTACTGAATCTTTGGAACAACCTTTGAGTTAAATGTTTCTACCATCTTGTTTGAGTAGTAAAAATTTGGGCTTTTTTATTCTAAAGACATACATTCTTAAAATATATAGGTAGAGGGATGATGTAAAATCATACACACACACACACACACACACACACACACACACACACAGGTCCAAGTAATCTCAACAGAACCTGTTGCACAAAGCAAATCAAGGGTCAATATTTGCAGTGTTGCACTAGAATCCTCTGAGAATCCAATGCCCTATTTCTAAACACATTAGCCATTAAATACAGCTGGCTTTCCATTGCAGGTCTGACTATCCTGTTGACTATCAATCAGGCAACTCTGTTTCACAGGGGTTAGCCCTTTTGCTTTATTCCATGGTAGTGGGGAGGAAGTAGATGGACAGGGCAACCCAAACCTATGACTTCCTTGCAATAGTGCATTTTGAGTTTATTGGAAATAAATGATAGGATCAGTGTTTCTTTTTCAATGTTTCCAGGCACAACTAAAACACGTGTCTCCATTTTTTAAACATACTATAAGTTATTCGTATTAAAAATGTACTGCAGAAAGGCTCAGTCACAAGGCTAATCTATAGGAATCTGACTTGTACTTTTATTTCAGGTGTGTGTGGCTAATGGCTTAGGAAAAATATGCAACTGCTTGCAACACAAAATGAAAATAGAAGAACATCTATCTTTCAAAACTGCAATTTTTTTTTTTGGTTTTTTTTTTAGCTGCACAGGACATTTTATAAACTATGATCTGCTTTGGTGGAAAAGAAAAATCTTCTAAGGCGGGTAAGGAGAAGTAGATTTAGAATAGTAGGGCCTCCATGCCTCCGCGCCTCCCGCAGTCTCAAGGCAACAGTAGTTGTTCGGTTCTCGTAAAGTTTGAAGGGAGGATTTTCCATTCTGAGGAGCAAATCGGGTGACCTTCCCTTGGGTCGCGGAGGGGGACAGCGGTGCCAGCCTGCGCCCGCGCTCATCTCTGCGAGCTCATTTCTTCCCGAGCTTCAGGGCGTGGACACCGGCTGGGTCCACGCTGCGGATGGCGGATGGCGGGTGCGGATGGGATGTCACTGGACATCCGGCGTCTGTGGCAGGCTGGGGACCGAGGTGCCTCCTCCTCCTCTGTCTCCTAATCCCTCTCCAAAGGCTGCTGACCCCTCTCTGGTCCCCAAAGGGTTGAGGGGTGCAGCATCCTGGGCCGGCCTCCTGCAGCGCTCCTCCCCACCAGACATGGGGCCTGAGCCCTTGCCAGCTCCCTCAGGTGGCTTGGGAGTCGCAGGAAAGTGTGTGGGGAGTACACCTTAGGGGGCTGCGAAGAGTCCTTGCTTTGTCCCAAGGGACAAGGAGGCCGCAGGCGTCCACCTCTTTTCTCGCTCGCCTGCCCAGGTGGTGCTGAGGTGGGCTCTGGACTTCTGTGGACTCTAAGG